TGCGGAGGGTGAGAGGATTCACCAGAGCCAGAGTGGGGAGCAGAATAGGCAGATCGACAAAGTACATTGCTGAGGGGAGCAGTGGGCGGGTCAGGAGAGGTCTGCCGTACCATGTGGTCACCTCCGGGGCCAGGGATCAAATTCACACTGAAGTGGCTGCGGCCCGCTTGCAGTGCTGTGCTTTAACCGCTGCACCATCAGGGAGGGCCTGTATTATAATTGTATCAATCTGTACCTGACTAGTCATCCAGTAGGGTGGGCCTTCCACTCAGTGTCTATGCACACGCCTCTGGAGAAACATCACAGATGACATATAGGGCATCTCACTGGACGTTCAACATGTTGGCCCACAGTCCCTCCAGCTGAGCTTTATTTTGTGGCGAGAGCAGTGACCCTTGGTGGGTGCCAGGTGCTCCCGGCCCCCCATGGAGGCTGGCTCCAGCGGCTTCCGGACAGGAAGGACATGTCACGAGGACATGCTGCTGACCTCCACTCCGGGCAGTCTGGAGACAGTGTCTCCGAGCTGCGTCGCGGGCTCATCCTCAGCTCTGCAGCCTGGGTGCCTAACAGGTGGGCGGCAGGCTGTGTTCCCAGCAGGGTCAGGGAGCACCTGGAGTGCACAGCGCATCTCCCTTGGGTCTTGCTTTGTCCAAGGACAGAGAACCCTACTGAGCGATGCTCACATCCTTGAAAGGGCAGCTCGGCGGTGTGCAGAGAGCTTGGTGACACCAGCATGGAACACAGACCACTCACCAGCCTCCAGCCGGCTGCTGGGGTCTCTCACCGAGGGAAGGGAGATCACGCAACAGAAATGGTGCCAGGAGGCCTTGGGCGGCAGGTGACACAGTCCCTCTACCGGCGAGCCCGACTGTTCTTGGCACTCCTGTGCTGCCAAGTGGCCACTCAGTCTACCACCAAGGCACTCTGGACACCATTATGCAGAGCAGCCTAGCTCCTCAAAACTGACCTTGTGGACATGCTGGGCTGCTACCAGGTCTGGTGAATGGGGACAGGGAGGCGGCCTCCAGTGCATGTGACATTCTACCCTCCTGCGACAGACTGCCCCAGCCCCAAATGCCAGTAGGACTGCGGCTTGAGAACCCTACCCTAAAGCCTGGCGGTCTCAAGGTTTTCAGACTGGCTTCCACCCCTCAGGCTCCCCCCAGGGAGCGCCCAAGGGCACTAGGTGAACACTCCTCCCTTCCTTTGGGACGCAGCCTCAAAGCCACATGGCACCACCTCTGTCCTGATGTGTCCAGCATGTCACACCTGCCTGGGCCCCGCTTCTCAAGGGGAGAATCTGTGGCTACTTCTCGGCTACTGGTTCTGTTTTAACCATGGTGGGAAGCAGGCAGGGCCCTGGGCCGCTGGGCTGACCTCTGGTCCCAGCTCTCCCCTGGGTGCTGGCCAAGCTGAGTCACTAGACCAGCTCACAGGAGCAGCTGCTGAAACTGGCTGGGTCTCCTGCTTCCCAAACCCTTCATCAGATTGCTACTGGGGTGTCTCTGAGCCACTAGGAGCCTGAGGTCAGGAATCTGTCTAGGGTGAGCCTTCTGCTTTCATCCCTTTTCTGCTTCATCCCTGTCCACCCCCCAGCGCTCGCCTCTGATCTCCCTGCCTACAACCTCACCTTTGTCTGAGCACCTAAGCATTTCCTCCAGAGTCCTTTTATTATTGGCTTGGGCAGGGAAATGTGCCATTAGCGATTTAATCTCCACAAGACATTGCTCCCTAATTGCTACTCTAGGATGATAATTAGCGACTGTTAATTCCTGATAATTAACAAGCTAATACTTAGAGGTAATGGCACCCGGGTAATCATCTTAAAAGGCTGAAAGCTGCTGTGATTTGAGGACCCAAATGCAAAGAAGACGCAGTGTCAGTGTCCAGCCTGGGAGTCAGCTGAGGCCGACGCTGCTGTTTACAAGGAGCCACGATGAGAAAATTGACAGCCCGGGTCTTTCATTTAGTTTTCTTGTCTGAATAGACAAATAGTCCATGCCCTTCCAGAATCTCTGTTGCACACAGAAAGTGCATAAAGAAAATCAGATGCACATCCCTGCTTCCCCCAGAAGCATCCACCATCGTTGTTTGGGTTTATTGCTTCGCAGTCCATGGATTTTCTTCACAACCGAGCTCGTGTTAAACATGTGACTTCACAAACAGTTTTATACATTGAATCTTTGAGCTTAACTCTCTGCTGGTGGTAGCAACTTACTAAAAAAAAAAAAAAAAAAAAAAAGTCTGCTTCCCCCAACAGGAATATCAAGTGAATATTGTGTCTAGGAGGGATGGGACCCCTGAAAAGGAGACACACCCCCGTGAAGACAAAGCCTGGGACAAGGACCAGGTCAGGTGGAAACCAGGAGCGCAGAATCTCCCACCCGCTGAAGACAGCGCCGGGATACGCACAGGCGCATGCGCAGTGGCGGGGAACGGTTTAGCGTCTGAGTGAGGAGTTAGGAGTCGTCTTCATCTCCTGCAGTCGGTTTCCATGCAGAGCACAGGGCTTGGGATCAGCATTCAGAAGCAGTGCAGTTCACACTCTTAGGCCTCCCCGCAACGCCTGGCAAAAGGCGTTTTTCAGCATCCGAAAGGTGAAGGGTGGTTTTCACACCGTCAGTGGTTTTCACACCGTCAGTGCTCAGGGCTCGTGGATCTGAGACGAGGGCTGGGGGGAGCCCAGTAGCTTCGGGAAACCGCCCCTCTGGAACCCTGGGCCAGTTGCAACGCCAATCTTGCACATATTTGCTAGACTCCCTGCCTTGGGCGTTCCTCTTCTTCCGAACTCCTTCAGTACCGAGATGGTGTTGCTGGAATCTGCACTTCGACACTAGACCTGGTTTCAAATCCAGTCTGCCAAGCACCTGTGACATCCTCTTGGCTACCCGCCATCTCTGAGCCTCGGTTTCCCCATCCATGGGTTTAACACTCCCTCCTCGTGAGGGATAGTAAAGTCCCGATGAGCTCATGTAGCTAAAGAACGTCCAGTCCTCGGCCAATGATATTATTTATTTATAAATAAAGATGATTTCATAAATACAGTTGTGTGATGAAAAAGATTGTTCTTCTTCGCTCTGTGCAGAGCTCCATAAATTTGTTACATTCGGTTTCCCCAAGCTCACGCCAGGCTTGTAGACCTGCCATTACACAGTTTGATGGATGGCGTCAACTTCGGCCTTTCTTTTGTTCCTTGCTTTTATAGATTCAGATCCAATTTCCTCTCCTCTCCTCTGTCATCTTCGTAAATCTCCAAGAGCCGAATCTTTTTCTTCTCTTGCCTAAGCTTTCCATTACAATCAGCTGTCCAGCTCTGGCCAGGCAGTAGCCCTCATATTTCAGAAGCCCTAATCCGTCTTCCCTGCAAAGACAGGGACTTATTTGGCTTGATGCTTAATAATGTTAAAACCATAACCAGGATCACGCTTTGGATTTCTCATATCCGCTGTTGCATTTAATCTCCGAGCAGTGCCGTGGAGTGGGCAGGCCAGGCCTTGTCATTCCTCCTGGGTGCTCACATTGTTCCCAAGGTGGGTTTGACAGATCGAGACACCATTTGGTGGTCAAACATGTTTGGGAAATACTGGAAAGCGTGCAGCTCAACAGTCTTCTCAGGCCTTTAAAGTATTTATGTGCAATGTGATTGTCTGAAAGGTAGGTGTAGTGCTTTCCAGCCCTTTCACTAGTGTCCTTTTTCTAGAATATTCCCTGGAATCATCCCTCATGGAACCCACTTTGGCAAACACTCACCAGGTGGTACAGAGAAAGAGGAGGCACAGAGGAGGAGCTGGGATGACATTCAAATGCAGGCACCACTCTTGATGAGCCTGGGGCGTGTGTCTTTGGAGAAGATGGGGCCCCACGCTCTACTGGGAAATTTTTTGCAGTTCTACACTATGATGCAGTTGGACATCATAGATGACATAAGGAATGATGTCCCACCCCATCCCATCATTCCTGGTGTCATCTATGATGTCGTTTGACTAAGCAGACCCCAAGGAGCTTTTCAGTGGCTCCAGAGAGTTCTGTAAGTAAAGAGCTGGGCCTCCTGTGTTGGACAGTCTCATTGCAGTGGTGGTTCCACTGTGCTGGTCTGCTCCCTCTGTCCCTTGGGGTCTCCTTGACAGCTTTGTGTTGAGGGCAGAGGCAGAGATACCACCTGCCTCCTGAGTGGTCATTTACTCATAATCCACTGAACTTTCCAATCACCAGTTGCCTCGGCAAAGCCATCACTGACTATTCATGGAGAAAGACCCTAGAAACTAATGTTGGAGTGGGGGCAGACAGTTGTGCACCAGATTCCCCAGGGGCACTGAAGGGTTTTTTGACCGATCTCCTTCAGGTCAAACTCAGGCAATGACTAGTATTAGTTGAACACAGATTAGAGTTGACATTGAGGGCCGCACCTCAGTCTCATCCAAGCACAAAGACATAAAAAGTCTCTTGAGCAAATGTCTCTCCTTCATTCCTTCCTCCCTTTCTTCCTCCCTCCCTCCCTTCTTCCTTGTTTCTGTCTTCCAACCCACCCTCCCCCCTTCCAATTTGTGCCCCTCAAATGTTATTAAACCTCTGAGGTAAGCTTCGTTTCCCAAGTCTTCAGACGCACTGTCTCTCGCTGTCTCTCTGTCAATGTCTCTCCGGCCCCTTCTCTCTCTCCCTCTCCCTCCCTCTCTCCCTAGGATTTCTTCTCCTTCCATCATCCCTATACCCCTTTGGCCCTTTCTAATCTCCCCTTTGTTTATTAGATCCCCTAGGTGATATAAGTATTTTGCTTTATCAAATTATCTGCTGAGTAAACATCTGATATTTGTCTCTGTCACTTTGATTTGCTTTACTATGGTGACCCCGTTTATCTTCATGCCTTCTGCTGTGTATGGTAACACCCTTCTTTCTGTCTGGCTCAGTGGTCTCGGCGGGCGTGGTCTCGGCGGGCGTGGTCACTGTTCACCTCCCTCAGACTGTGAGCTTCTCTCTGGCTGATTCAGGACAACCTGATTCCATGGCCTGTGAACTTGGGCTGTGGTGCAGTTTATTTCCTTCCATTCCTTCTCGTCCCCTGGCTCTCCCCATCCACCGCCTCTCCCTCCCACCCTGCTGCAGAATTCTTCCAGAAAGCACTTGAACCTCAGAGCCTCACCACAGGGAAGCAGTAGGCTACCCCTCCGCTCCTCTCCCAGCTCCTAGGCCTGGGGCAGAGCTCAGCCACGGCCCCCATCACGTTGCCGTGAAATTGCTTTGGGATGTCGTGGTTCTTCCCCACATAACTCTTGCAGAACAGCGTCATCTTCACCTTTTTTTTTTTAAGATATATTTATTTGTGCATACAGAACTGGGGTACAGGCCAGAGGCTCATGGGCGGTGAGAGGCTTCACCAGAGATAGTGGGGAACAGAACAGGCGGATCTATGAAGTACAGTGCTGAGGGGAGCAGCAGGAGGGTCAGGAGAGGTCTGCCGCGCCATGTGGGTCAGCTCCGGGTGG